AGGGCTTCCTGGTGAATGCACCTACAACAACACAGCGTTTTAAAAAAAATCTCTAACTGACTTTCTCAGTTAATCTACTCCTAAATACACGAGTTGAAGTGTACCCAAATAAGAGAGGCGTCAGTGAGGCATGATATGATATGGCGATGGCAATAATGGGAGCGACTAAAAGTGACGATCAAAGGCCGAAATGCCCATCTGGACAAGGTCGACAATGAACAATGCCCACAGTGTAACATCAGCACAGAAAACCAAAAACCACAGCAATGCGTCATATCGAAGCATGGATTGGAAGTCTTATATCGACACGTGTATCTATTTATCTACCCACTTATTTATTTTGTTCATTTATCCAATATTTTATTACAATATGTTACGTGAATGTAGTGGCAAATTTCGCACTTATTGGCACATGTTCGGCGGTCAAACTTTGAATCGGGATACAGTCTCGAGTACTTGAACCCATCCACGACGGATTATTAATTTCTAAAGACTTGCTGGGAAGGTAAAAGATGTATTTGGAGGTAAGCAAACCAGCCCTTTTGGCGTTTCTGCTGGCGCCGTACGCTGAATGATGGGGAGGGGATGGGGGTCTCCGAGGTCGACGGACTACTTGAACTCGGTCGGTACGGTAGGAGAGTGATGACGAAGTGTTGCAGCTAGGTACAGCAGCTCCGCCAAAAGGGCTGGTTTGCCTATCCAGGACTAATGTATAGCCTTGGCGGGCCAGATAGCGATGTCCGGCTTGTTTTTAAGGGTATCGTCCTGAGGTATTACAGCAAAATTGAAGGCGGTTTAAGGACCGGAACTTGAAAATAGCGCCTCACCGGTCGGGACTCTCCCTTCCAATATTCGGACCATACGGTGACCCCAGCAGAAACGCGACAATGACTGGTTTGCTTACTCTGCCTTTGCATCGGATCGCGCACCTCAGTGATTCAGGCAGGGAGCGGCTCAAGCGCAATCACGATCTACTAAGACCTTGCAGCCGTGAAAAACCTTTGCGTATAACAAAAACATCAGGTAATCTCTCCCAGATATTCTGCTCGCGCAGAACAGGTTTATTAATGGGGAACTGTCGAAACGTTCGCCACGAAATGTGTTCCACCATACACCTAATTATGATGGGAGGCCACAATGGAATGCAGCAAGGTTTTTGAAAGCGAAAGACGAGTTTAATAGAGACAGAGTTATCATCAGCAGTAATTGGCCAGTAAACTAATATTCAACGTAATTCAATACAAAATGCGTAGTAATTGACGTAAGGCTCTCACAAAAAGTACAGGGTGGCGAAAAATTACGTGCGCCATAAAAAAACGTCCTAACTTCATTTTTCGTCATAAAATTCGAAGGATCAATTTTATAAACAGCAAACTCTAACATTCAATAATTAAAAAAAAGTATCGAAGTGGCTGCTGTTAGTGTATCACATAGATGCTGAAATCAGTTGACACTTAGTCCATCGGTGCGGCGTAAGCTTGAAGAGGTCTCTTGTTACCGAAAAAATTCGTGCGCCTCTTAAGGCAGCTAAACTCGAATTACTCCAACTTTTTGCTTAGCTCTGGAAACATTGTAACTGAAAACCCGGTGCAAGAATTCCAGTCTCGCGCGCGAGTTTAAAGATTTGTAGCAGTATCAGTGCTGTGAGCAATCCCCATTGATTTTCTTCGATGAAGTTTTGGAAATGAATGCGAAGATATATCATGAAGAGGTCTTCAAAAAAAATCTGGATTCTCTGGAAGCAGAGTCACAACAATGTTGTCGGATCTTTGTCTATGAACAAAAAATGAAGTTTGGTTATTTTTCATGGCACACGTAATTTTTCGCCACCCTGTAGAATATGAGTAGATTACTCCCTTAACTTGTTACAAAAAAATTGTTTACGCGTAATCTAATGCGTATTTCTTGGAAGCCTCGGATTTGATGTGTTGTATGCAACTGATACAACTGTATACGTTCTCTGACGTCGAGAATACTGTGCGCGGTGGATCGAGTAGCTAACGAATCAAAAGCTTCAGACTATCTCCAGGCCTCTGAAGAAGACGAAGCTGTCGAAACGTCAGGCCAGTCAATAAAGATTCCATCTTAAAAACCTCGTTTGGCATACAGTAAAAAACACAATTTTATTTTTTTCAGATTGTGGAAATTTAAGCTAACAAATTGCAAATGGTAATATTGTGTTAGTAAAGATGAGGTTCTGTATTTGGAAGCTAATAACAACGAATGAACTAGGAATCTTTGAGTATGTACACATTTGAAAATTGAACAAGTTCGAAGGGAGCAAGCAACTACTTCAAGGTTTCACGAAGACTGCATACTCAGCATAGAGTAATGTTTTTTTGGATTCTGGTTTATAAGATTTAAGCCTTGCTCCATTTATGAAGCCAGCTTATGGGATAACAAAATTCCTAGGATGTTTCCTCACTGAAAATTGCACTAAACATAGGTATGGACGCAAAGCAGAAACCGCATTAAGCTTATCAGCGGTGGGCTCTAAGCGTTTCTCCATTTATTAGGTACTAGTTTTTATCACCCTCCACCAACAGCAAATACGCAAAAAAGCTTTCTAGACATCCTTGAACTCGATCTGGTAGCGGAATCACCCAAAAAAGCATTCCCCCGATAGCGACCCATAAGTACAGATGAACTCTGGTTGAAAATTAAAGATAAGGGGGGCTAGAGATCCACTGATATTGAGTGACGAAGAGATTAAGTGAAGGGGAACGAGTTTGTCCTTGCAATGAGAGTGGTGTATGTAAACAAGCATGGTGACAGGACACTGAAGGCCTACATTCCATGGCATTCACGAGCAAAGAGTAGACAGGGGTGGTCAAAAATACATTGCTATGTGCACCTCATCAGCTGTTCAATTCGCAGAGAATGCTGTTTGATGAAAACTTTCACGTTTGTCCGTCGTCGTCTCCCAGATGAAGCATACTCTTCCTTCGCATGCCCTCATCGTCCTCAAAATGGGACGTCATCTCCCATCACCGTTGAACTCAGGAAGGCCGACCGTAATCGCTCCTGTTTGAACCTGCTACAAAATTTCTTCAAGCAGCATATACACTGACTGATTGCTTCTAGACACTGTAGGCCTTCAAGTACAAGGATCACATTCGACGCAGCGTCTCAGACAATGCATTGGTACAGGCGATCGTCTAGAGGACGGTTGAGCTCGAACCTTGCACAAGGTTCCCATGGCAAATTCTTGTGATGTCCTTGGTGCAGAAAGCTATTATAGCGTCTGTTGGTAAAATGGCATGTGGTCTTCAATATTAAGTTGGGAACAGTCGGTTAGAGTATGGCAAAGTGCAATTAACGCTGTATGAAATGTGAAGTGTCGCTTTGTTTGGCCACCTTTGAAAAGCTTTCGCCACTGATAGATTTCTCCACAGGATTCGCCTTGTACTCTACTCCGCGTCTGATTATAGGGTAATAGGGCGCAATTTGTCCTATACAACGACTTGCGTGTGCAACAGGTTCCAGGTCACTAATTTTACCCTCAAAAGTGGATCCAGTAACATTCAAGTGTTCGGAACGATGTAATCTTCTTTGGCCTAGTCAGGTTGACCGGCCGTTGTTCCTAATTCTTAGATAAATTTGGACAGTCATCACTCTTACATTCCGAGAGGTCTCGACAACGCACCTCGCCCCCCCCCCAATACACCCGCGACAGCATCAGCCTGCGTGGCCCCTTGTACGACACCTTTTACTTCTGACCCTCTCCAACTCAAATGCGAGCCCGCTCCTGCTAACAGTTGAATCTGACGCATGAGAAAACGCGCAACGTACACTGTTAGGCTTAGCCGAGTGCTAGAATAGAATCTAGCCTGCGAGCACCTGTGTGTGGTAAGAGGGGGCGGCTTTCAATGCATCTACATACAATCAACCGACTCAACAGCATGACACCTTGTGAAAATAACTGGTGCGGTTATTAAGACAGATTGAATGCGGCAGTATCTGTTTATCAGAATCGTGAAGACGCTGTATTCGTTTAAATGCATACTTATCACAACAAGCAACCGACATTGTAGGTGAGATGTCCTACTAATTGCCTCCAGTTCTTGACTAAAAAAAATGAGTGATTCGTCAATCTAAAGCGTTTTCCCCACCCTATAGTCAGTGTCCAATGGTCAACAAAGAACCCCAGAGGAGGGACGTGTCCGAATATCTATTTTGTGTGGCGTGGCCAATAGAGTAGCTCACGAGTATCACAGATGTTCCGTTGTCGCGACTTGAACTGTGCGGCAGTGGCGCTCTGGTCTTGGAAAGTGATCTGATATCGACCAATGAGAACTTACAGACGAGATACCTTGCGCTCACCTTCATGCAGAGTGGTTTACGACGTAAGGTAGCCCACAGGTAGATAGATCTGGTGGCCCCATCGCATTGCTGTGGTCGCGTTCAAAAAACTCTCTAGACTCCCTAGACACCCTCCTTATCAATCGCACCTATCAGACCGATTTGAACTGGGATTGGCTTGTAAACGAATGCACATTGGATTAATCTACGAATTTTGCTTCCGTTTTATTTCCGGCCAGCTTATGGTAAGATTTTCGCAAACAAATGTGAACCTGAAAGGAGGAGGGTATTATAGTTGCAAGGGCGCTGCATGACCTACGAACAGGGATAACTCGTACGATACAACGTAACACCAAGCCAACAAGCTTCCCACACCTTCGATAGGCTACTCAAACTGGTGTCGAGAGGAATAAATCAAAATGAAAGTGGGCATGGTTTTCTAGACAGTGTATAGACAAATCGCGTAGTTTCGCTACCACTTTGAGTGATAGTAGAATGCGTGGCGCATTCCAAAAAGGAAAATAATAAGCGACTCAAAGAAAATAATTGTGATTTTTCGAATTAACGCTAAGCACACTGGCACTCATCACTTTGGCGAATATCATTCCCTACTAGTTTTCCTCGCATCAGAACCGGCTGATCTTTCTTGCAACGGATTACAAAAAGACTTCAAAAAATTTTCCAAATTTACTCATACTTTACATCAGATCACATGACAGCGAGACAAATGCACTACACTTCTGATCAACATGAATCAAACAAAACATGTAATATATTATGATTTTCAAGTTATCCACATATGCTTTGAACTTTCTCAGTAACGCTCCCATTTCTGCATATTCAGCTATTTTGATGGCTTCGTCCAGTTCAGCCCATTTCCACATTTGGTGCTCATGTGAAAGTTTCACATCATCCGGATTCTTCAACGTGCAACAGTCTTTCACAGTTTTCGGCTTTCCTTTTACCTGAAAAATAATTTTTGGCCGAGATCCAAGTAACTATCTTCGTCAACAATTCATGGGGCGATTCCAATCAAAGGGATCGTATTTGTGTTCTTGACTCGGAAGTGAAACACAGACGACTTTGAAACTTTGGGGGCTTGTCCACGGCGGACTTAGGCACGTAGCTTTGGCGCAATGCCGCACGGGACGTCCCACGCTCACCTCATATCTAAGAGTTTCGTGACAATCTTCATAGATTTTCAACTGTTCTTGTAGAATTCCGGCTTCTTCTTTTGTTTCGCGTAAAGCAGCTATCCATTCGTCTTCCCTCGTCGGAATGTCTGTTAAAATTATTTTCTTGAAATAAGAATGACAAAATATGCCGCATTAGTCGGTTTGGGGAGTCAGTGGTACGGTGGGATAGCTTTGCTTGACAAGAGGAGAAATTCGACTCGGTGAGATCCTGCCAGAAAAACGACAGGACAGAGCTCGCACCACATTCGACATCTGGTCGTACCTTATTTCTAAGGAACTACCTTCACTTCTAGAAATGGCGGTGACTAAACAAGTACTACGTGCGAGAAACACGCCTGTGCTGGTGACCGCACCACCAAGTGCAAAGGTTTTCCTGACATATCCTGATTAGCCAACACTCCAATCCTTCAAGGCGAGGGATACGATAGATGCTTGAAGAGCGATTACGATAAAGAGAGAGCATCGGGGAAGCATATGCACCACACGAAGCAGTTACTTGGCTGCCAAGGAAGCGAGGTGTGGCGCTTTCACAACGAAAGGTGCGCTGGTTGCTGAGCAGGACTTCGAAAGCACTCCGCCCCCAAAAGCGATCCGCCCACTAGTTTACTTGTTGATTTGGACGAGCTGCGTGCCAGCAGCGGCGCAAATGGAGCATCTCGATTAAAGCGTGTTTGGCATGGTGCCATCAAACGCGTTGCGGTGAACTCGTTCATACGTCCACTTTCTGAGCTGTTACCTGTTCATGAGTGAAAACCAACGGCCAAAAAAGGGGTCCCGTTTTGCGTTTTCTTGACGGATTTTTCTGCTTTTTTCGCCACTGGCGTACCATTGAGCACCACCACGTCACACTAAACCCTTCTTGAATTTATCGTAATCGCTGCCTTTAAGAAGGAGAAATCTGTTTACTATGTATGAAGACCATACCCCTAATGGACCGAACGTGGCGTTTTTGCGTGGAAAGGCGTCATAGTGACTAGCAAGGCATTACTCGTCGTAAGGACCACTTTAGAGATGGCGAGCTCGGCCTGTGACTGGCCTATGAAATCTAGTTCTCCAATAAAAAGGGATGAAAACTTGTTAAAATAAGCTTTATCAGGTGCTGAGAAATTGCCAGCAGCGGCAATCAACACGAGAAAAGCAGAGAACAGCGTTTGTGCTCATTACATCTTACCAACTATAAGATCGTGGAGCATAATCGCATACGCACAGCGCGGAAATAAATTTCCATTCCGCGGGTTGTCGAAATTTTCCCTCAGTTTTTCTACACCATTGTATATGTTCCCACTCACACTTCCTGATTTCTGGAAACCAATTGGCCGAAGCATCTGCCTTTAAGTTTGCACCATGGAAGTACCAGTTAAATTCAAGTTTGAAGTGGATGGAAATTCCGCGCACGAGAGCTTTTATACACAGGTACCTTTCACGATCAACGTAACCTAGACCAGACGCTTCTAGAGAGACAAAAAATAATTCATTCGAATGAATAAAATTTGACCTATAGAATTTTCAGGGGATTACGGCCCCTCCCGTCACCTGTGTTTACAAAAAGTGAGATATAGCAACAAAATGATATTAGTTCTGCATTTCCGGTTAACATATCGGAACGACTCGCTCTTATCCGATATCAAATAATATGGAGGTGTGCGAAAAAAAAATCGCTCTCCTTGCATATTTAAGAGGAGTAATTACACTTGCACAATTCAATCCCAATGATCTCAACTAAATATTGAAAAGCACATTCCATTCTATCAGAAAACTACGCCGACGGCATCAGCAGAATTTCTCAGTGAACGTGGTGCAGGGTCCGAACAGAACAAGGTCTCTGATAGACCGTGGACCATTACTTTACCTAAAACGCTGCGCTGGTAGGGATTAGTTCTGCATATCAAAAGCTACTGTTGCTAGGAAGCTATTTGTCACCTAAACAATTGAAGAAATTATGTAGCAGCTTCAGGCTGGAGCGATTACGGTAAGCCTCGTTGAGCTCGACGGTGACGGCAGATGACGTCATATTCTGAAGACGGTGAGGGCAGTGAAGGAGGGCCTGCTTCTGTCATGGTGACACATCAAAGGAATAGTTCGCTGTGAAACAGCGAGGCGAAGGGACTTTTTGCCCCCCCCCCCTCCCGGAATATGGCAACCTTGGTCCCAGTGTACAAGAGTAGCCAATATCTATAGCGTCATCCTGCGCTTAGAAAAGCTTTGTGATGTGTGCTAAGGCGGAGGGGCATTTTTTGCATCCCCCCTCCTGCATATAGCAACTTCGGTCCCAACCTACAAGAGCAACTAATACAGAAAGTAAAGTTTCGTCTAGAACATTTTCAGTGCTATCAGTATAAGGTTCGGTGACCGGAAAGACGGAGAGTCAAAACATTTTCTGATATACGCTCTAAAATCTTATTTGATTATTAAATCACATTTAAACAATCAAAAAACAATGAACAGAAACAGGATCTAAGGTTGAGTTATATCACTTGAAAGTACAGAGAAGTGAGACCAAACAGATCAAGGCAATATGAACATGAAATGTACAAGCACACAATCTAAATCCAAACTTAATATTCAAAGCCCGCTTCAAAGACTATCACACTACTTGAACCTCCATACAGGCTATTTTCTAAAAACAGAAAGCAATTTGAAAAACCTATAAGAGGTCCCAAAACTCAAAAATGGCTAATTGGCTAAATCTCAAACAGGCCTAATGAACACAGGCAGGTACATTCATTTCATCAGAAAAAGAGAATGGTCCGGTCCAAGAGAAACATGTTTTACGTCATATGGGAAGAAAACTTCAAGAGGGAAATACTGATCCTTTCCATGTTCAAGTCCAAGTAAACCGTATCTGAAGAAATTGTGATGATCTATGAGCGAAAAATACAGTTTGAGCCTTTCAAAGATCCTGTCTCAAGTGGCCTATTCAGAACAGCAATATGAAGACCGAATAGGGGTATAATTCATTAGCAAGAAATAGTTCACCAATGTCCAGTGAAGAGCTACTTTATCATGATGCGAGCCTAGATCAAAGGTATTGGTAGGAATTTGGGAACGCGTAAGCGAACACGTCCGGAGCAGGCGAATTTCAGTCAAGAGTTTGATATGTATCGACTGTGAGAAACGCACGGGCGGAAAATCGCGTGAGCGAAGCGTTCGGAAGTCGATGCGTATGATACTCATTTTCGTCGATCCTCCCACTTCACGATTCGCCTGTGCGTCTTCGTTCAGTCGATACATATTTCACATTGTTTCGCCTATGCGTTTTTTCGCGCAAGCGGACATCTCTGAACAGGGCCTCAGTGAAAAGCGATCTGATCGATTATCAAGGTAAAGAGACACCCCGAAGTAAGATAAGTTCTCACAGAATAAAAGAGATAAAGGTAATTTAGCGCCATCACCGCACATGTGTCGGTGCCAATAGTACTAAAAATTTCACACAAGTGCCCTGCTAAGAACAAGAAGAAGAGGAGAATGAAAGAAATAAAATGCGGTGACGGGATACAAACAGCACAGTTTAACTAACCTGTTCTGACCCCAAACAAATAGACGCCCACTTGAACTGATCGCGCCACACGAGGTATTCCCCGCGTATACTTTAACAACCTAAAAATTCTTAGCATAGCTTGAAATAACTTGACTGAGGCCACATGATCACTCCAATCAAAAGTTTGAAACATTACCTTTTCCCTTCCAAAAAGCGGTGCATCCATCAATGTTGGGCGATCTAGCTTCTGCGTATTTGGACCGAGACCAACCAGACCAACACCCCACACGTAAACCTGTAATATCAAAAGTATGCCAAGGAGCAAAAGAGTTAGGGCGCCATGGAAGAAAGCGGAGAAGGGGATTGTCGCGCCCGCTCATATCCTCCCCTGAAGCCAGCAGAAATATAGAGGATACATGTATTGTTAAGCGACACTATACTATCGACTATCTCGAAGTCTATTTGGGTGTTTGAAATAACAACGGAATGCTGTCGCCAGAACCAGGACACGCCCCGCACTTGATACATGTGCGGGCTAGTTCACTCACACTGCTTCCTAACACAGCAATACTTCACATGCTCACATCTACTCGGCAGCATTTTAGACAGCACACCACAGGACCGGGAGCTCCCATAGAGCATTATAGCATCACATCTTCTAGTCAAGTGCGGCTGCCACGTCATTTCCGGTAACGACGGCTAATCAGACCTTCGAGGATAACTGCACTTGTAGTACGTTCTGGCTTCATCTACCACCTTCAATACCACCGATTTCTAAGTCACTGTCTCTAATCCTTTTTAGTCCACGTCTTTTTCGTCGTCATTGATATCATCCACACACTATTTCCTAATCTCTCTCAAACTTATTATAACGCGGCCCTCACCGCCAGTTTATCACTGGGCCCCTGCCGTAAGTAACGCTTACTTCAACTAAAGCGCGCTCAACGCTTCGCTCTCATTTCGCGCTCTCTAGGTTGCCTACCGCTAGAACAGCATCTCATAGCCTCACCTACAGGAACCTTCTATCACATAAAGTGGTTCACGTACTTTTTCATTTCCATGATAAGACATGCTGACTACCCTGCATTAAAGCGCGCTTTTTCACAGAAATTCTCATATGAAGTGAGGCCCTCCATTGTAATGTTCAAATACAGCTAATGAAGAAAATTGTATAGAATTAGTCGTCGAAGGACTTCTATAAAGACTTATTAGTCACCAACTTCTCCACTCTCCGTGTTTGCAACGCAAGAACTGGCGGTTGATCCTACCGAGACGATTTTCCCAGGTGGAAATGGGATATAACGGGAAAAGCTCAGCTAAAAAGATGGATATAAGCACACAATGAACAACGATTCAAAGTTATAACTAAGGAGGAACGAGGCTTCTACCCCTGAACATTATCTGCACCAACAACACCTTGTCCGTACTCGCATTGGCCCCATATGAAAAGTTCACCTTTCTCGGACAACGCCATTATGGTATCCGAACTTCCAGAAATCGATGTGTCATTTTTTCTCTCCAACTGCATCACCTGGAACCTTGCAAGTATATGACGCGGAACGTAGTAGTGCTCCATAAATTGGGCAGAAAGATTTTGATAATCTAAAAATAAAAGCTGCTAAGCTAAAAAAAAACAACGTGGAGAACATGAAATTGCGATATGTGACAGCCATGTGGTTACTGGGCAACGAAAAGAGGATGAAATCCTGTCATGTGATCAGCTTATCCACTGACGGATGACGATAAGAAGACTAGACCGCATTTCGACATTAGCCGCACTCAAAAATATTGAGAAAGAAACGTCACGTAAAAAAAATGAAGAGAAAGTGGAAAGTGAGTTGCTCCTCGAAATGACTGCAGAAACAGATGCCACCATTATACTAGACTCTAGAATCCAAAAGCAAATAAGCGCACTCGATCGAGATCACTGCCTCATTTTTCGAAGTTGGGGCCAAAAACCTCGACCTGGCCATAAGGCTGACCTCATGACCTGCAGGTATCGAAATTGTTTAGCACAACTTCTTCGCGCCAAAATTATTCACAACTGCAAATGTAATTGTGACTAAAAGCGAACTCGTGGGGAGGGGGGAGCCAGTAGCGCACTCGTTGTACGTTTAGTACTAAATAAATGACATACTCGCATAGCTGAAGCTGTATGACGCTTTCTGCTGAGAAGGATTGGAAACTTTCCGTGATCATAAATGGAACTTTTGAAAATGGAGGCAGTAAAAGGTAATTGATATCAAGAATTCATGCTCACTCCGGTAAAGTTTAAAAACCAGATTGGAGCGGAAAGGTGATAGGGATTGGGACGTGACCGAAGTAGGTACACAGAAAAAAACCAACTCATCCACTTCACCCCATAAAAGCGTGTGAATTTCCTAAATCCGTCATTCGATAAAAAGTTGAGCAGAATTATCAAAAAAAAAACCTTTGACTACATTCTCGAAAAAGCAATAAAGAAAAACAAAAAAAATCACAAAAGCCGAAAGATTGAAGAGAAATAGTAGTGGATACTGGAAGAACTGAGAGTAGCGAAAAAGAAAAAAAATTGAATCACCTAGAATTTTCGTAGGCTGCCACTGGATGCCAAATGAGTGATTCGCACATTGTCCATCCTCATTCAAACCAAATGCAAAGACTTCGCCGCTTTCTGTGAGGACGAATGAAGTGTCGAGGGTGCAGTGCACGGCTACTGCAGGAGAATCACTGGGAATTTCAACAACAGGCAATGGCGAGTCCCTCAACTAAAGCATTTTAATGAACAGTGGCTTGGCAACAATTGCTATTGCTGTTAACTGCTAGTATTAACTGCTAGATAATATTTACTGCTATTTACTCCGTGAACTTCTCTGTGCTTTTCAGGATCCTGTCCACACTGACCATGAGCGTTGTCTCCAAATGCAAAAACACCGGATGTGGTGGCTACCAAAGAGTGCGAACGGCCCGACGAAACTGATAAGATCGTTGCGTCTAAAATGCCACCAATATGCCAAAAATTACGGAACAACTATTAGTTATAATTACTCGCTTCCAGGAAGCAGGATTCGTTTAGCGCTGATATAGTACTCTTGAAGTTTGCAATCGGTATCTCTTACGTGACTAGTAATTTGAAACCTGAAAAAAAATATGAACCCAACATGTTGATTGATGAAAAGATAACAGAATTCCATCAAATATTCTCTATTTGTTGTTGGCCAGAAGGCCGAGGTCGCTGCGTTAGGAGAAAAGTATCAGGTTGCCGCATAAACAGTGCCGATTTTCCAAATGGAGAATTTCCTATTAAAATTACATATTTTCACAACAATCGTATTTCTTTCAGAGGGAAATATCTGCTCTGCAGGCTAGGCTGAGCTTCCACATTTGTAGCAGACTGCTCAACTTCAGGCTCGAGAGGCCAACGGCAAAAAGTAACCGAACCGGTAACAAGTCAGCCTCAATGTTAATTTGAAAGAGATCGATGAATGATGTACCTCTTGCTTACAACTAGTCAAGACCTCTTCTGAACAAGCCACTACTGGGTTGCCTAAGAAGCAAATCCCTCCTGTTTCTTCAGATTTGTTTCTGTGGATACCCGCTAGAGCACGGTGGTTTTGTACGCGAATTTTTTTCTTAAGGACGTCATGATTCAAGCTATGTTATTCTGCACTCGACACCTCCTCTGTGCTCTGTTGAGCTGAACGTCTCGCTTTTATCTCTGGTAACTACTAGGCAGCGAATTTTAAAGCCTACTTCATAAGGTGTAGAGGCTAAAAAATGGTCTTCTTAAACAAAATTCTTCTGAAAAAGACGATCAATCGGGCGTGCCCTCCGAACTCAATCGCAGCGCCCCCTGCATTTTCCACAAGCTTTCCTATGGCTTGATCTGAAAAATTTCAGGTCTCGATTCAACCAGATGACGGTCATCCATCAAGCTCTATTAAAAAGCAAATTCGAAAGAAGAGCGACTAGACTTGTTACCGAACTCAAAAGCGTGATGCTTAGAAGAGGTTCTGACCTAGGTATATGGTACATAACTTACCGATCTCCTCAGAGGAGAATTGGGATCAGTTCAATGCCGACTCGGCTAAATCTGGTCGAATGACCTCCCATTTCGCAAGCTAGAAGCTGGATCTGCTCGCAATTATTCCAAATAGGGGACATTTTTTTGAAGAGCAAGTAAATTTCTTTCGAACAGTATACGAGTTCATGTCAAAACTTGAGATTCTGAAACCCTTTGATATCTCCTCAATATCCCTTCA